TGTTATGGTTTCTTGAGGAAAAAAACATTTATTCAAGATACCAAATCTAGTAAACACTGGATAGCATGTGTTACCCTATAAAGCTCACAAAGTGTATTCATTTTTAAGGCTTTCAGAAGTCCTGTTGGAAATGTATATAACTCAATTTCTCTTTAACATTTCCCAAACTTACTTGACCATAGGATCTACTTTTAACTTCATAAATAGCTTGAGGATTAAGTATTTTGTGAAACACTTAGATATACTGACCTATGGGACACCTTTAAATATCTGAAGTATCACTAATCCACAAAACAAATTTTTAATTCATTTTAATTTCTGAAACTTTAAATTTTAAAACAATTTGGAGGACAGAGTAAAGCAACACTGAAATCAAATGTACATACCAACAAAACCAGGGAGAAAGTGGGTGATGTCTCTCACAAGGTACAGAATCCCCATCTAGGAATGAAACCGACATGTGTTTCCAAGTCGGGGAAGAAAGAGCAGCTGGCAAGCAACCTCCCACCTGTGCAAGGCCACGGAGCCTGCTGGAAGGTCACCTCTTCTGTCAGGGCACCAAAGGGGCTTCCAGCAAACTCCTTTCTCCCTTCTTCCCACAGAAGGCTATGCCTGTGAGAGTGCAGGCCACCCTGGGGAAGACACCACTCACAGAAAATGTTACATAACAGAAGTCGACTGTTCAGCATCATGAATGTACTAAAAAGAAGCACATAATGAGATCTTAAAAGTTCCTAAGAATTGTAAGTAGTAATTTTGATGTTTTTTTTTTTTAACCTCATATCTGTTTCATGTCATTTCTGTGGCCAAAGGAGACCTCCCCAAAAGCCACTTGCAAATGAACTTGCTTGAAGTGGGAGCCACAGAGGCTCTGACCCCATGCTTACCAGGCTGGTCAGAGGTGAGCACAGGTGCAAGATAAAACCAGCAAACCCAGGAAGAGCAGAGGCAGCACTGGATGCCACTGCTTCCCAGGGAAGAGTAATGTATGCAGACTGTACTAGTCTCTGCAAGGAAAGCCATTTTCATGGCTGCATCAACTTCCTTTACTATTATCAACACTGAAAGATCCAGACAGTCATCCTCTCCAGAATGACAAGTCAGACTTCAGGCTTTCTGAAAAAGTAAGAATAAAGATCTCGGCAGACACAGACTTCTTCAGGCCAGCATCCTGTGACCAAAGGCCACCATCACAGTTCAAATAATAGTACATTCTCCAGGCAGTACACAACAGGTTGACATTTACTATGCATTCCATTCCCTAAAATAGAAATATCTACTTCAAGAAAAACATGACAGTCAATATTACCTGTATTTGATTAAAATTAGTCTTATCACCCACATAAAATTTAAAAACATGATGGAATCACAACATTCAAACATCAGTCAAACATCGGTCAACAGGCAGCACAGACTTATCCCTTTCGAGAAGCATACACCTTTTTCTTTATAGTTCCGTATCATCACATAAACTTTCATTGGGCCATTTCACAGACAGAGTGTTGGCTTCAAGTGTAAAACTGCATATACTCTGTACATTTAAGACTATGACTCTATCCTCTTTGGACAGATGAGAGAACAAATAGTCTGAGACTTGGGAATGATGTGGCCAGTGGCAGAAACAGGAAGAAAAGTATCCCTCCTCTTTCCATAGGGGTTCTCTCGATGGATGGCTCCCAATTCTTACCGTAAAGTAGTGTGACATGTTCGTGAAGGGGCTGCACGTGCATGACTGTCCCCTTGGGTGGCTTATGGGATTGTCTTATGCTGCCCAAGGGGACAGTCATGCATGTACCACTGGTGGTTCAAGCTGGTGGGAATGTGTTAAACACAAAACTAAATTTTGAGCTGCTCCCTGTTAGGATACCCAAATGCCATAATGAAGACCAATGAAACAGCGTATGAATTCAGACATCTTTTGATATCAAAATGAGGGTAAGACTGTAGTTACTTTTCCTGTGTGGGGAGACACATGTCCAATTCCAGAGGATTCACTGGAAGTTCGGGCTTGCAGTCACCTCACCAGGACATGGCTACCTCTTTGCCACCAGAATGTATGTGTACCCTAAGCTTCTGAGCACTGAAGGAAGGTAGTGTTCTGTACACCCAGCAACTGGCACTCACAGAAAGGCATGGTTATGTTTTTCTTCTAGAGACAGACCCACAGGTCAAAGGATTTTACACATACTCTAAAATAAACAGCATGTGTGAAACTCCTAGCCCTCCAGAGAAGCACCTCACTCCATTTCTTCAGTAAGACGTGAACTGGTTAGAGCTGCTCCATGAACACTGTAAGGTTCCTACTAGGGCTATGTGACCTTCTGTGATCAAACAAGGGAATCAGTATGAAGAAATATTAATAAAAAGGAGGCAGACCAAGAAAGGTGCTATAGAACACCTCTTGGGAAGCAAGGGTGCTCAATTCCAGAGAAGTGTCGTCTGAAATTCTAACTTCCGGCCTGTTTTCCCAATTCAAGATCATCTTTAATAAAACAAAAGCCACTAGTTTAGAAGCGAAAGATGGGTCTGGGGATATAGCTCTATGGCAGCAAGTCTGCCTAGCATGTACAATGCCCAGTGCCCCACTACTGGGAGTATGTGTGGGCAGGGATAAAATGTGTTGGGCAACAAGTGCTCCTGGTTGCTTTGAGTAGCAATTCATTCCAAAGCAAAATGGAAATTCTATACCCAGAAACCAGACTTCCTCTTATTGCTCACCCCTGCCCCTGTTATCCTTACTATGATTTTTTTTCCTTGCTCTGTGGTCATACTGAGGTAGTTTACTTTCTGGAAAATTTGGTAACTTTTCATTTTTAACTGAAGATCACACCTTCTCAAAATGTTCTAAGAAAAACACGATTAAATGATTCCAAGTTGTTAGAGATAATAATGAAATACAGGATACCAGAAGTAGTAATTTCACATTATCAAAAACCTGTCATCAAATAAAACTTTAAAACCTGTATATTTAAATCTTCCTTAAAGGATATCTGTATAATGCTTCATAATTACAGACATGTAAGAAAGGTCTACTAGTCAACTAAAAGGGAATTTACAACTGAAAAATTACAGAGAAACTGATGGTACATTTTTTCCTGAACTCATTCTTTCCAGTGAATAGGAAGTGGCTTCCTTCTAACTATAGCCAAACTAAAACTCCAGTCTTTAGAAGCCACAATTGCAATCCTTCTCTTAAGGGAGTAAAAATCACTTATTTTTCCAAAAGTCAAATATCTGAATTTCTGAAGTCCAACCTCTACCAGCCCAAGTTCTGGTACGGTACTACGTGGCTGGCATGGCAGTACTGTCATCCTCCTTAGCTTCCATTACATTCTTTCACCAGCTCAAGGGCTATTAAATGACAAGAACAGATGTCCACGTTCCATTAGGGGCCTGCTTATGCCTGGCAAGCTGAGAAGCTTTAGCCTCACGAGGCTCTTGACAGTCCCCTTCCTACAGCTGCCCACAGGCTACAGTGAGCTCACCATGGGAGAACCTTGTAATTCCTGCACTATGGCGAGGGTTAAACAAGGCTGGGATTTTATGGTTTTGAATTCTTTTTTACTTCCACACAATTTAAAGATGGGTAAATAGCTTAGTGAAAGAAGAAGGAGAAGGAAGGAGAAGGGAGAAGGTGGGGGGGAAGAGGAGGAGGAAACAAAACAACCAGAGAGCTGGGGCACAGAACAGAACCCTTTGTCACGAAGGTGTGTGCGGTGGAAACCTGTGGCAGAAGCCCCCAGTGCTCTCCTTACTTCTTGAGAAAAACACTCAAGCTTGCCTATTATCTGAAACTCTGGCTCCATCCACAGCACATTCTCTCTTGACCTAGAGAAAATTAGGAAGAACTACTATGGTTTAAGCCATTTAAGCAGCATGAATTTGGGGTCTAGCCATGTGACCGTGGAAAACTACTTAAGCTCTCTGGGCTCTGCTTGCTCTCCAGTTGATGCGTTTACCTAATTGCACTATACATATTTCAACCTGCTGCATTTTGCAAAGCACTTTCACACACTACTGGCATTTAATCCCGTAATAACTCTGTAACAAGGGCAAGTACCTTCATTTTTTACAACAGGAATCAGGCTCAGTGGATAAGTGACAAGCTCATGATGGCAGCCAGAAAGCAATGGACGTGGGACTGAACCCTCAATTCCTGATTCAAACGAAATGCTTTCCTTACCACACTTCTTGCTCTTTCTGGTTATGACAGCATTAAAATGCCACCACTTTAAAATTCTGTCACCATCACAACTCATGTGACTCTGACAACACTTATAGGTCAAGGAACAAGGAAAGGCACATGCATAAGTATTCCCTCATATAAATCTTGTTTTTGATTTAATTTTTTGCTTCCTTAAATGCTTAGATCTTGAGTGCTAACTAACAAAGATGCCAAGTATTATGCTAATAAAAATGAAGAACCAGATCTTGCTTCTGGTGGAAGCATTCATATATATGAAAGCATCCAGAAATATACATTCTGCAATTAAATTGCTGTCATTGCAAATTATTACTTTACTGGAAAAAAGATATACACTACACAACACTACAGATTAACAAAGGCAGTGTTGGATCTGAGTCTTTCTAAGAAAGTCCTCTGGCTTGCATCCTTCACCTTGAAGCATGGCCTAAACTTTTCCCACCTTTTCCTTTTACTCTCACACAGCCATTATGTAGAGCAGGCAATCTGTGTCAGAGCTCAGTGAGGGTGATACAAAAAAATAACGTGACCTCAGAGGGGTGGGGGAGAAAGAAAGCAAGTGTGTGCGTGTGTGCACAAGAGCTCTTCTTACTGGAATCCCTGAGCTGTCAGCCAACTGTGGGAGGGGTGACTGATAGCCCTATCTGACGGCAGGTAAAACTGTGAGATGGACCGGCCAGGAGGAGCCACACTACTGTGCACTGCTGCTCCACAGTTCTCCACATGAAATTCAAGGTAAGCAGAAGACAGGCTCCCCATTATTCCACCTGGTTATGTCATAGTGCTGGGCACTGACCTGCTTTGCCCACTTCCCCTTTCCTCAGTGATCCTTCAGCCTGGCACCCAGCTCTGAGATGAGGCCTGCTTAGCACCTGTGAAGTTCCCCACATTCAAACCAACAACGTTCTGTGTGGAGATGAGGGAATCAAAGTTAAAATCCAACCCATCTGCATCCATGAGTTCACTTCGGATAATGGACTCCATGTCACATTCCAAGCTCCCATTGAACATGTCCAGGTCCAAGTCGCTGGGGAACTTCTCATGGCCCATAACAGGAAGGTTTGCACTAGATGAGTACAAGGAAGAGCCTGAGAGAGAGTCCGACAGGGTTTGCATAGACTGGCTGACAAGAGACTGCTGCTGGTGTTTGGCTGACCCGAGGCTGCTGGAGTCACTCAAGCCCATGTTGCTGACAGAATTCGACAAGGCACGGCTGCCACCTAGAGCGCCCTGGGTTTGGTGCTGGTGGTGGAGCAAGTTCTGATTGACCAAATTCCCCTGGTTAGGCTGGGCAGCAAAGGACATCATGGGGTCATTGCGAAGCATCACATTCCGGCGGGAGTTCTGGGCAGACACAGCGGTGCTGGCCTGGGACATCAAGGGGTCCGACTGGGTCATCATGACATCGCTGTGGCTGAGTGAGTCAGAAGTGAGCAGGTCTTGGAGTGTCTGGTTGCCATAGTGTGACATGGAAGAGAAGGTGGCTGGCTTGTTCTCTTGGATAGTCTGCATGGGAGACTGGCGCAAGGAGTTCAGAGACGAGGGTCCAAACACCGTGCTATTAAAGGAGCTGGTTGGAGAGCCTAGGCCAGAGCCCTTGGTGGTGTATGGGAAGCTGGAGCTGCGCTGCATGAGCCCCCCAGTGGGTGATGACTGGGATGACTGGAGCGTGATGTTATCCAGCAGGTCATCCATGAGGTTGTCAGCCAGCCCGTCATTCAGATTCATGGTGCCTGCCATGTCCGTCAGCCGCGGCAGCTCCACAGTGCATGGCTTGCTTACAGAGGGCGACAGGCTGGCTGAGCTGCTATAGAGCATGGGGGAGAGCGGTGCGTCGTCGTCTTGGACATCATCCAGCTCTGTGCTTGCCAGGATGGGTGACAGGCGGCCACTCACCGTGCTGGCATTGGAATTGGTGCGTGATCGGAAATCTGTCCATGCATCCAGCTCGTCGCTGCTGCGGGAGGTGGGGCTGCCAGGCCACTTAGAGAGCTGGGAAGGACTGTCGTCTGCAGACTCTGGGGCAGTCTGCGAGGCTGCCTTCTTCTTGGCTGCTCGGCCACGGCTCTTGGTATACTTGTTGCTGTTGTCCATGGAGACGGCCCGCCTCCGGGGAGCCTTGCCACTCTTGCCCCCATCAGGGTTGATGATCCACCATGAGCTCTTGCCAGTCCCCTCATTCTGGACCCTCATGAATCGACTGTGCAGAGACAGGTTGTGCCGGATAGAGTTCTGCAGAAAGAGAAGGGCAAATTCACGATATAAGCCAGAAAGGTCCAAACCCGCTCCTCCAATTTCCGAGGCAAAAAATAATTATAAGATGAACATGAGCATACCCCTTCTTGACTCACAATAAAGTGACAACATGTTATAATAGAAGGTGTCATGTGTAGGAGGTGGGGAGATGGTTTCATATCCAGGAGATACTAGGAACATATAAGCTCAATAACACTGTTTTCTCCAAATTCCTAAGTTTTATTGTCCTTTTTCTAATTATATTTCCTACATTACAGTTCATATTTGTAGTTTATTACCCACTACTCCCTTCCCTGCACTGTGCAACAAACATCCCTCAGTCTCTGAGGGTAATTCATCACCTGAGTCTCTTCCCCTTTGAGCACAGAGGCAACATCTATCTTTTCTTAACCACTTCTATGGAGACAGAAAGTACATAACTTTTATCTATCCTTTCTGTGACTTCATCATGACCCAATTTCACATCTTATTCTGTAACATCTGGCAGACACAAGAACAGAAGAACATGATTTTCTACACTGTTAAAGGAGTAGGCAAGCCTCCTGTGTAGGAGAATTCAATAATTTATATAGATACTCTTCCCTCGATGCAGAGTAACTTCCTTCCGTAGAGTAACAGTGTGGACAGGGTGAGGAAAGTAACTGAGAAATCTGACAGGCATTATCTCGTGACCAAGGTGACCAAGGTGAGTAAGCCACGATGACAGTATGCACCCTTGACACAATGGCAACTTCTCTAGTTTTCCTTCTCAAGCCATAATCCCAGTCAAATATGAGAAAAACAACACACAAATCTCAATTAAGGGACATTTACAAAATGCCTACTCCGTTTTCCTTAAAACTGAGACAGCCAAGAAGAACCCCAAAGATATGACAGCTAAAGATAATGTGGTATCTTAGACAGGATCCTGGAACACAGACAAATAGTATTAGGCAAAAAAGAAAAAGAAAAAGAAAAGAAAATAAAAGAAAAGAAAATAGGACAGCATAACTAAGACAGGGACTTTAACTCATAATGTATCATAATTAGCTCATCTGTGTGACACACTTACTATGTGACATTAATGACAGGGGACATGATGCTGAGTATAAGGAAACTCCATACTATCTTATAACTTTTCTGCATATCTAAAACTATTTTAAAAATAAATGATTTTTAAAAAGTAGGGCAAATACCCTTAAAACTCTAATGACTACTGTACCTATCTTGCAAGAATTTTCCTCCTAGCTCAGTGGATACACCCAGTTGATAGGGATGACCCAGATTCAGCCCTATCTGTCAATAACCTACCATATAACCCTGAACAAAAAATCTAATCTGTCTACAACAACTGTAGCTTCCCATTTTCATTATGGCCTCAGTAATATCCAAGTGCCCTCCCTGCTAGGGATGACATAACCATGCTAGATAATAATATACTCCAAAACTAGTCATGCTATGAAGTCAGGGTGTTTATGTTGCTCTTATAAAGTGCAGAGTCTGTGGTGAAGACAGCTCATGGCCTGGGGCAGATTCATTCTAATCTATAAAATGCCTCATGTATAGTACAAAAGAGGAGTGGACAATATTCTCCACATCTAGAGCAGTATCTGCAGGCCAGATCAGTTTTCATTTGGAAGTAAAAGATAAAAGGTATTGCCTGATACTGTATATAAATATGAACAATCTTAAAAGTTATAAATTTTTAAAAATTGGCAATCATCAACTATATTTATGTAAAAGATACAAATACATGTGCTCCACCAGAATGTTTTTAAAATACAAAGTCAGCAGGATTTTTACCCTAAAGTAAATAACCCAAAATATTCAGCCTCTCTGCAAAAGGGGATGGCAGCTCAGGCTGAGCAATGAACACAAGCAATCTTAGATCATAAATTGGCATTTTCCACAATTATAGTATCATCAGAAGGCATTTGAGAGAAACCAAACAGGCAACAAGCTGCGTATCTGATGGAACAAATGTTGTCCAGGAGACTGTTCTTTTTTACTCTTATGGTTTTTAAAAAGAATAATGGCATCTCTACTAATGGTTCAGAAATGACATTTCTTTAAAAAGTAAAACACTTTATGAAACAGGTATGAAGTATCCTCTTGGTATGCAGGCTGGATGGTTCAGGAATCAGTCAGATGGTTCCACTACTGAGTATGAGGTAGAGGTACTGAATAATAATATAAACAGACAAGCTTTGGAAGTTCCTGAGGCTGTAGGAGCAATGTGGGTACCCCCAGATTCTTCCCACCTGGGGAGCCCCCCTCTGCTCTATATTCTAGGTGAGTTCAAACCAAAACCCACAATGAATGAGTAATCTTTAAAAGGGCATCTAGGAACAATATTTTTAAAGTGTATTTTAGTTTCACAATTCCAAGCCTACTGAGAAAAAGAACAAAACATTGTACAGAACTCCAAAATATTCCATATGGATTTTCTGATCGCTGTCTCTTACTATGGCTCTGACCTCCAACAACATATGTGTATAATTTTATGTAATTACAAGCTCCGACTGGTTAAATCTGGAGACAGATAATAAGTTTTTCTAAGGGCATGTGGTAAAGAGGCTGGAACACCCACACTGAGGGTCAGAACCACAGAGTCAAGGGAGGGAAGGGCCATGAAGATTGCCCACCCATCCAAGTCCCAGTGCAAGCATGAAGAACTAAGGGTACGCCAGGCCAGACTATAGCATGCTCAGTTACTAGAGCTGCTGTGCCTATCTGTAGAGTCAGTATATCTGTGCCCTAATTTTACATATAAAGACTCAGGCTAAGAATTAGTGAAGAACTGAACACAAGTCCTATAGCTATAGCCTCTAAAGAACTAAAACTGGAATTAGGTTTCTCAACTCTAATCCAATGCTTTCCCTATGACCCTCCTAGTTCCACTACCCAACTATTTATAAATCACTACCGAATCTATTTGCGCTAACAATTCAAGTAAAACATCTAGGAAACTAACATTTAAGTAAGAAGGATTCACAAGCACAATCTTACTATTATTATTTTGTTTATGAAACAGTTTGTGCTAATAAGTTGGTGGGTCCTTACTTAAAAATTCTATTAAAGATTTTTTTCCCAAAAGAAACTCTCTCAGAAGAGCAAACATGAAAATGTAAGCCTGCTCTGTAACACACGCTCACCTTCCTTCAGAAAGGCAGTGATCAAAGAGCTCTAAGCAGAGAATAGTGGCTACCACACAAACTGATACCAAGCACCCTCAGCTTCTAAATCAAAGCCCACCTTATTAAATGGGTGATTAGTTTCAGTGTCCAGTCTTTGCCTGACTCATTTCAGAGGTTTATCAGTGGCAGAGTACATTTCTGAGGCTTATTAGCTAGAGAATGCTTAGACAGGTTTTTCCAGTTAAGACAACACACACGAAAACAGGGCCACTACCATCCTCACCGTCCTCCTCTTAGCAGCCTTCCACTCGCACAGGCTGACCAGCTTTGCAGTTAGAAAACCCATAACCTGAAAGTGGGGCAGAGACAAAGGCCAATCAGTATGGCTCACTTGTCCATTTCTGGTACAAATGCTCCAGCTGTGCCAAGGTCAGATGCCAGAAACATTCTATGTTCTTCAGAGGTCAGGATTCTAATGATTAGCTTCTCTACCTAAGTTCTGGTAAGGGAAGAAATGTAAATAAATAAACACCAAGTAAAATATCAGCACGGGAATGTTTTTCCACACCTTACTGGATAACAAAAATTAGTGACAATATGATTTCTGTAAGATTTTGCATGATTCTTCCTCTCCCTCAACCCCAGGTCAATTACTATTAAAAATATTTCTTAGTTTTCCACTAATTCATATTATCATCCTATTAAACAATCTAAATTTCTAAGATTTTACATTAGAGTTTGGAGATTGGAAGCAAAAGGTAACAAAAGAATCTAATCATATCTAAATACACTTGGTAAAATGCCCTGTGAGGCAGCCCATGTTAAATGGCCGGAGAACAAGAGGCTTCAGGTGAAAGTGATCAGTTACATATTACCCAGTAGGGTTCCTACTGCTAGACAATGCCACTGCCTCATCATGCTTATCTCCTTAAAAAAACAAAAACAAAAACAAAAAAACAAGTAATACACTTATTTAACATATAGAATGCTTATCTTCTATTGGAGGCAAGAAGCCAAACCATGGGAATAGTTTTGATTAAATATACTACTTATAAAATAAGACCCCGATGAATTATAGGAAAGCAAGCATCTCTAGGAAGAAACTTCAGCTTCAGAAACAATTACACCAGTTTCCCCCTAACTTGAATCCAAGGATTTATAAAACCCTTAAAACAACTCTACCACAATATGTCTGAAGAGAGAGCAAAGAATACAGTCTACCTCATTTTTATATCAATCTTCTCTTTTACAAAATAACTTACACCGAAGCAGCCCTGCATGGGGCCAGAATACCACCAGGCATAATTAATTAGTAATAAAACTGGCACCCGTGTCCTGCATCGTGGAAGCTGCAATTACTGGCAAAGCCCTTCAAGAAGCACATGCAGGAGGTGCATGAACACACAGTCATGCTGACCTCCCTGTGTAGCCCACTGCACAGAGATTCCTTCGCTTGGCCCACCTTGGGGGAATCAGCATAACGATAACTGCACTTACCAGAATCTAGTTATTATTTTTTACATATAATGAATAGTCTTCTACAGCAAGATACATTTATCATTGAGCTAAAGTGTCCATGCTCCCCACGTATACATCAAGCCATTTAGTTGTGAAGAGGAACTAAGATAGATTAGCCATCCAAGATTCCTGAAAAGAGTATCCCAGCCCTAATGCATAAAGTGGTTAATCCAACGCACAATTTAAGGTCACCAGGGGAGGAAGAGCAGAAGATGCTGAAGAAAGACCCCAGGCTTTGATGTGTGTGTGCTGGAACCCTGGCTGTGGCACTTGCCTGCCAGTCTTAACCAGAGCTGCTTCTTTGGAGAAATGGAGGTTGAAACATTCCCTGTCCACCGCTGG